TTCAAAGATCTTCTTCCCTCTATCACCACCCCCCACCCCCCCTCCGGAGATGTAATCCCTCCCCTACAATAACAATCAAGCTACTCACCACACAAGCGACAGAAGACATCCAGGCCGAGATCATACCTACTCCCCCTCCCTCCCCTTCCCCCGCTTACAGAGTGCAAACCCGTGAGGGGGTAAGCATTTGCCATAGGTGTTAATGTCCATGCCCCCTCCAGCCCAACAGGCCCCGAGTCACCCAGCACACCAGAGGCCATGGCAGCAGGGGCAGACAGCCAGGCGTACACTGGCCCAGACTCCAAGCAGCACTCCCCACAGAACCCCGAAACCCCACCGGGGCCCCTGCCCAAGGGCAATGCGCCCCAGGGATCCCAGACCCCAGGACCCACCCCAGACCCACCCTGCAGTAGGGCCAGGCAATGCCCAAAACCCCCCGGCGCCAGCACCAGCACCCCCACCCCGACACCGGCCCCCGAAGGACTCCCCCCCGACACCGGTCCCACAACACCAATCCGAAGAAGAAGAAAGCCACACAACACAGCAAAGCGCAAATCCCGAGCCCCACTCCAAGCTCCGACTTCTCCGCCCACACCCCCCCTCCCACACATAAAAAAAAAGAAAAAAAAGAAAAAATTGTAATAATCTCCCCCTCACTGAAGAAGAACGGCCGCAAACAAGCCAGTGCCCAACACCTACCGCCACACTGCGAGAACCCCTCCACCCAGATGCTTCTCCCCAGAAAAGTCAACATGCCTGCCCTCCCAGGAGACAGGCAAGCCCGCCGAACAGGAATCCCTCCGGCAGCGCACCGCCGGCATGCGGGGGCCCGAGCGGCCCCAACAGACAACATCAGAAGGCCGATATGGACGAACCGACGGCACCAACCAAGCCCCCAGGCGGATTCCCCCACCCAAAAACACAACGAAACCACTCCGCCCCCACCGACCACAGCAAACACAGCCGCAAGGCAAAGCAAAGGACAGAGCAGCCCCACCCGGCGCACGCCAGAGAGCCAGAGCAGCAAGGCCGCCCCAGCAGCCGGCACAAGCAGCAAAAAGAAAGCAGCAGACGCGCCCCCACCACCCCCGCCGCGCCCGGCGCGAAAGCCGCACGACCCACCCCGCTCCGGCCCCGCACCGCCCACAGGC